TCCTTGTTATTTAGTTGATAAAATGATTGCCATCATCTCTGACCTCTTAACATCTATAGGTGAGCTTGAATTGTTATCGCAGGATTTTATTAAGTATGTAGAGCATAATCAATGGCATTGCCAACGGCAGTGATGCTTTACAGGAATTATTGATTAGCTGTAACTAATAAGCCAGGTTGAGAAGTGAGGTGGCCAGAGGACCTCTGCCCCTGGCAGTGATCCACCATTTGCCACAACCTCTCAGTAGCATTGATGAGATGCCGCCTCTAGTCCAAAGTTATTTCTCCTTAATAGCCTTTATTGAGTAAATGACCATTAAAATCGAGTTTTTAACCCAACCACATAAATATCAATAGGCCATATCATGACAGAACTATGGTCTGGCTTTGTACAACTGAATCACTTTCGCAGAGACAACACTATTGATCTTTCTGTAAAAGGCAATGCTTTGGTGCACAGCCAGGACATGAGGCTTGGACACAGTGACAGTTGTACCTCCCACAAGTTACCTGCTAACTGCAGGACTGCTGCCATCACAGTGCACCAAAACAACAACAAGACTAGGGATGACTGGTCATCAGCACAGGATATTGTCTCCTTTGAAACACATTTTACTCTCTCCATGGTGGATAATATTTTCCAAATATACAGCCATTAAATATAACAATAACAATTGACACTACTTGCATTATTTGTGTTTTGTTTTCTGTCATTATATCCTGCCCTCCCCTTGCCAAGTTTGATCTCATTCCAGCTCTCTACCTGAATGGATGAAAACACAGTTTATTAGGCCTAAATTGAAATGCATTTTATTTGTTTGTCCAAATACGGTGGATAACTTAGCGTTACTGGCTTCTTCACCTCATCTATTTTGCCCAAGTCAACAATATTTGTCCATTATTGGTTGAAGAGCAACATTCTCAATTTGAAGTACTGCAGCAAATGAAAAATGTGCATACAGCAGAGTAAGGCTCATTAATGCGAAGAGTGTGTGAGTGAATGCAGTAGTCACATCAAGTGCTCTTTCAGGGAATGTTTTTTTAAATGATTTCCAAAAGTTGATCTCTAGCCCTGACACAGGGCTGAAGAAACCGTCACTCATTATTGGACCCAAAATACAGATTCATAGTCCCATATTTTTTTGACACAAAATACTTGAATTTTAAATCGGTGAGAAAGGGCAGGAAGCAAGACAAACAGAAAGACTTCATGTTCATAAAAGGCAGGACAAATTAATTGCTGTTGCACAGATAAGTGAGAGAAAAAGAAAGACAGGAAGACAGGATGTGTTCCTCTTGAACTCTTGTGAACAAGTACTGTGAAATGACAAAAATAAATTGAAAAAACATACAAACAAGCAAAACATTTAGTCCATGTTCAGATTCCTTATGATTACGTATTGGTTCTGATAAGCTACACATAAAACAGAATGTGAAACTATGCCATTTCAATCCCAGATTTAAATTTGATCTATTTTTCCTTGCTTTTTATTTTAATTTTAAAACAATATTAAATAAAGTACAATGCATGTTTGATATTGACGATACAGCATTAATGTCTCCTTGTTTTGACCTGGGATGCCCTCTTTCATCTAAACAGAGTAATTTTAAAAGAAATATGGGAACACAGTGAGGTGGTACATCATTTCCACACCACGTCTTCCACTAAGATAACACCCTGTTATCTGTTTGACAGTAATTGTCTATCACTTATTTAGGGATTAATCAGAATGGCAACAACCACATTAGCATTTTGTTTAAATTAGCTCTGTGATTCAGAAAATGTGCACATTTCGGTGTACATTGCAACTTCCTGTCTGCAGTGCACACTTTTATCACTTTGCAAAAGCATACATTTGATCTGAAATGCTAGTCCATACTAGTAATGTTTTAAAACTGAAGGTTTACCTGAGTGTTACCAATGTGACCATTGCCTTTCCTCTGCAAGGAAACACGCACTAAAGACATAAGCTCCATGTCTGTTTCCTGTGGCCCTATAGTACTATCAGCTAATCTTCCTGGCTGTCTGCACTGTGGATCTATTATTTGTAATGGCAAAACAATCAGACTTTATGGCCCAGCACCACATCTACTGGCATGGAGGCAACACGTAATTTAATACTCCAGGAATTGGCTCCACAATTTTTGCCTCTGGCTCTCCCACTGCATGCTCAATAGGGATGTAAATGCTGCTATGATAATGGCAATAACGAGGTTCATTGGAGCTAGTGATAAACTATGAATTGAATGGATGACCCAGGGGCAGTGTACCTCGTCCCTGTGGCTCACTGATTTACTGCAAAAGAAAGGCCTGTTTCATTATGGTGGGGACCAGTGGCTTGTATAAAAGAAAACCCAGTCAGTAGATTAAAACATAGTAGATGAGGGCAGTTTCACAAGCCTTTATGGCCATTATGCATTTAGGGCTGTTTTCCCTCGAGTATGTGTTCAAAGATTGATGGAATAACATTTTTGAATATCCAATTTAGCTTCAAGGTAATGCTAGAAACATCACTAAAGTGTTGTTTTTCATCTACAAATGACTGGCTGCAATGAAAGCACTTCAGATCCAACCCACTACAGAATTCTTTTTGTGCTGTTTAACCTCCACTTGCTAAGCATGTGTGCATGCAAAGACCTCAGAACCCAAATATAATTTTTGAGTGTGTGGACCGAAGAGCCTGTCTGTCAAGTGTCAGCTTTTGCTTTCTACATGTCTGCTGCTTCTTCTCTAAACGTAAGATCTTAAGAAGCCGGGCCTTTGGCTGTTTTATCATGGGACCTTTGTCAAAAATCTTGTAACAGTTGATGTTTATTTTATCAGGAAAATTTTAATTTGGCCAATTATGTTTTAAACCATCAGAAATTTTAACCCCATTATACTGTATGACTTTTTCTTTACTAAACATACTGATTGGCAGTGCTGTACGGTCTCTGACTATTCCATTGTCACAGACTGATCTTTGACTCGTTGGTATTTGCACTTAGATTTGTCTTGGACTGGAAATACTCTAGTTTGATTCAAAATCTACAACGGGTCAATGTCAATACAATCATATGCCTGGCTGCCAAAACTCACTCAACTCTTTTTCTCCTGTCTCGGTCTTGACTCTGTCTCTCTCATTTGGACTCGTTTTTGACTTAGACTCAAACCTTTTTTAACTCTGTCTCAACTAGTCCTGGTCTTGAACTCGACAAAGGTGGTCTTGACTAAAGTACTACTGATTAGATGTTTCATGCCAAGTGCATATTGCAGTGATAGAAGGTACAGTTCTGTGATGTTCACAATTTAAAAAGAATCAAGCAAAAAGGCTGGATGTAAGAAAAAGAATAGGACATTTCTATAGACAAGCTCTCACCAAACAGCCCTTTAACTATGCAGCTGAAAAATGCTATAGTACACTTCTTTATTCTGTAAACACCAATCTTAATTATATTAACATAAGTAGATTAAGATGTTTGCACTACATAACCAACCTACTTATTATCATAATTGCTTTTAAGACTGCAAATCCAATTTCAACACAGGCAGGTCCTCCACTTTGTCCTTTTCCTTGTTGTTTTTTCCTTCTATTAGCTCTTATTTATACTTTGCACACACTCCATTAAGCTGAGACATGACATGCAACTTGCAAAGTTTGAGTATAGTTTCAGCTTTGTAGCTTCTGTAATTTTGCCAGTGCACAATCACACTGTTATTATAACACAAGCCATAGTGGGTCCAATTATGTTGCTTGTTTTGTTGTTAACACATTCACCAGAACTTTAAAAGTTTTAGTCTGATCATTAAAGTGCCCACACTAATGAGGTAGAACAGTGTGGTTATTAGACAGGAAGAGAAGGTTGTTTAATAGCTTCCATTACAGACTTGGTTAGCTCACTCCATTATCCATGTGAACTCCATCCCATCCTACACCATTCATTTAAAAAGAGGGACAGAACAACAATGCAAAGCAAGTCCAGGAACATTGATCTTACCCTGCTGGAATCACGACTCTTTGACAACCACTACAGAGGCCATTTTTCTTCCAGCTATCACATTATAGGCCCACTATGATGTTCAACTGATCAGCAACATTTCCATTTGTCAAAGTATTTGCAGTGGCTCTACGCTGCATCACATGGTGATGTTAATTACTGTAGTGCTGCAAACATGTATCTACATTTGCATACTGCATGAACTGGTAAACTGCAATTAATTAAGAAATGGAGTCTTTATGAAGAAAGTTGAAGGTTGGTTATAAAGCACCCCTAATTGTATGTGCCTGTGTGTATGTGAGAATCAGGAAGGCAGAGACAGAGTTGAAGCATTGTACTTGATTTATTTGCACAAACAATGGAACCCCCCCCCCCCCATATCTAAATATGCATGTGTGCTCTGTGGTGGTTTGGAGGAGAGACAACATGGTCAACAATGCAACACAGCACTGGCTATGCACAGTGCAGGATACAGAGGATTATGTTGTGGAGCCAGTTAAGATTGTTGGCTGTTTGTTTTGGCAAGAACTTGACTTTTGTCATTTTAACATTAAAAATTTCCCTGAAGTATCAGAATGCTGAAAGAATACTTAAAACTGGGATAAAAAATTAGGTCGCAAGTGAGTCCCTCTATAAGGGGTTTCATTATCAGGTCACACATGTAGTTATTTGCACTTGCATTACAGAACAGATAATTAGCAAATTAATTAACTGTTTAATTGAATTGCATTATAGAATTAATGTTTTTTTACCTTGTGACATCTTGGGCATAACATGTTACACATTAGACAGCAACAATCACACATTTAATACATTTTACTGGCATTACATTAGCAGAACCAAAGTAGCACATGTCCCCTATATAGTATTTATCAAATGCATTTCAGTTTTAGATGATTTTAAGGTCCGTTACAGGTCACAAAAAAATATCACATAAAAAAAAAAAAGACTTATACTCTAATTAATTAAAATGTTTCCTTTGCTTGCTCTCTCATTTCTAACTCTGTTCTTTCTTCTCCCAAGCCTTTGTGCTGAGCTGTGCGTTCCCCAAAGAGCCTGCTGGCGGAGAAGTTTCTGTGACGCACCTCCATGCTGGCGGAGAAGCCTTCTTCCGCTGTTTCACGGGCTACAAGTTGCAAGGCCCCAAAATGCTTACCTGTCGCAATGCAACCACACCTTACTGGAGTGGAAAGGAGCCCCGATGTGTGGGTAAGTCAAACTGGTTCTTTGCCAGACACATGTTAGCTCATTTCCAGTAGGAGCTGTTCAGGGTAATGAGGTAGCCCCTTACTGAACTGCAACAACAAAGCAGCAAAAACTGTAATTACACAAAATTAAGTCTCTGTAACTGTAGGTCCTTACACCTGCAGGTTAATTGGTATGCTCACTGCTTTTTTTTTTTTAGATTGGATTTCTTTTTTGTATTATATTACCTTCTAGTAGTTAACAGACTGGGGGCAGACTTCTAAAGCAATCTTGTTTTCTTTTATAATTAAATTTGTCCAAATGGTTTCCTAAGAAACTTTATTAAAGTATGATTGAGTAATACTATTTAGAATCTGATAGAAGCCATTTCTACAATTAAAATGATGTGCAGAGTAAATCATTTTAAACACTCAAAAATGTGTGGTATATTGTAAGCCCCTTTCTCTGCAGCTTTCTTCTATAATGCAGGTGATTTTGATTAACGAAAGCTTTCACTACGTTGTCTCCTGCTGAGTTGATTAGTTACACTCAGAGGCCAAATGAGTGTGTTTGCATGTGATTAGCAGCACAGGGAGCTATTCTTTGGAGACAGGGCAAAACAAGGCCATTGGACCTGGCTGCCTTAATTAGAACTGGGCCGCATGACTATCCTTCTCCTGCTGGTAAAAGCTCATCTGCCAGTTCCAACCTTTCTCCGTGCCCGCCTGCAGCTGCTCTGAACTGATAGTGTAACTGCCGCCGTTTTGCTGTTCTCTTTACAAGTCCATCACACACAGTCACACACTCTTAGACCCAGGTGAGCTGCCGAGTGTAGTCCAGCCACAGTCCACTGGATATTGATGCAATCTCTGGTCAGACAGGGACTTTTCTCCAAAACTCCCAATACCATAGCTGGTGTCATTACTTTTCTCATCTAATCTTACCCTCCAACTCTTTGTCTTCTCCCTCTCTTTCTTCTCACATACAGCATCCTGTGGGGGAATGATAAAAAATGCCACCTACGGTCGTATCGTCTCGCCGGGTTTCCCTGGCAACTACAGCAACAATCTGACATGCCACTGGGTCCTGGAGGCCCCTGAAGGCCACCGGCTTCACATTCACTTTGAGAAGGTGGCTCTGGCAGAGGACGATGACAGGTAGTGTATGCACACTGCAAAACTCAAAACACACATTGAGGCGAGAGTGTTGTACAGTATGAATTTTTGTGTGTATGTGTGTCTTCAGCTAATAGATGGCACAGAGCTTTAAACTCATTCTCTGAATAACACCATGCCTGTGGATAGACCATTAAAATCCTCAAAGGCTATAAATAACCAAAATCTTTAGGGAGTGACAGATGAATTTGAAAGGACCTTTTATCATTATAATCCTTTAACAGTGTTCCATCAAGCGAATGAATTGAAGGGACTACAGAGGGTAGTGAGAGGTAGGGAACAGCAATTGCATTACATTTTTCACTAACTACTGATCCACATGGCTATTGTCACACATGGCCATTCACCTCATTACAGAATGGTGGAAAATGTTATCACAAAGTTATTACAGCCACAACTGGAACAGTGGGCAGCTCTCAGATAGCTTGTAACTTCTTTTAAAGGCTCACTTACATCTATTTTCATCTATCTTCCTTCTATTTCTGTGTTTTTAAGGCTGCTGATAAAGAATGGCAACAACATAGACTCTCCCCCTGTGTACGACTCATATGAGGTAGAGTATTTGCCCAATGAGGGCGTGCTCAGTACTGGACGTTACTTGTTTATAGAGTTCACCACAGACGGGACAATGACCTCCACTGGTGCAGCCATCAGATACGAAGGCAGGTTGATCATGCAGTTTGCAGAGTTTCCTAATAGACACACTGTACCTTGTCACCCTGCATTTGACACTTTTTTGTGTCCACAGCTTTTGCAAAAGGTATGTGCTACGAGCCCTTTGTGAAGTACGGCAACTTCAGCAGCAGTGACTCTACCTACGGTGTGGGTGCAGTGGTAGAATTCTCATGTGACCCTGGCTACACCCTGGAGCAAGGCTCCGTAGTGATAGAGTGTGTGGACGCACAAAACCCCCAGTGGAATGAGACTGAGCCGGCTTGTAGGGGTGAGTCAACAGATTTCATCCGCTAGGGTAATTGTGCGACGTTAAATCTTTTGAAAAATGTGCTTCCACTGGAGCAGAACTTAGAGGAAGATATGACTGACCTGAGGACCCAAGGCTTTTTATTGTCTACTTGATCACTGCAGGAGTCAGTGAAGTCTTTTTACTCAAATATTAAAAGACCACTGCCAGCTAACTATATCTTCCTAAGCTGCTCTACTCTGATCCATGATAAATTTCCTCTTTAAAATGTAACAATGATTTACTTTGACATGTGTGCTTGCAGGGCAGATTTTTAGAAGTGCTTAAGATTAAAAAGGCATACAATAGTTGGCCTAAGATGAACACTGCCACACTGCACAGACTGCGCGCCATACTAAATGCTGTACTACCCCTGAAACCTTTCTCTCTTTCTCTCTCACACACTTTCCACACATGAAACTGACCTCACTCTCGGCCTTTGTTGCCTGTATGGTCATTTTGCCAAACACTGAAATTGAAAAGCTCTCTAGTAAAGCTCGGTATAAGAAAATTTAATTTCTTCTCCTGTGGGTCATGGTCACCAAGCTGTTCAGTGGTAGTATGCAGTTTTATAAGGTCCATGTCAAGGAGCCTGCACATTCTATTGCAGCTGTATTTTTTAAGCATTACGACCATGTTTCCATTCTATGAAGTCACATAATTCTTTTCATTCAGCAAGTTAAATTGCATGCTTTGAAATTTACTTTGCTTGTTAAATTGATGTTAGTCTAAATTTTCTGTGTCTTGAAATCCATTACGATTTATATATGTTTCTCAGTTTTCAACCTGAGGTGTTTGTGTGTTGCAGCTGTGTGCAGCGGGGAGATCACAGACTCTGCCGGTGTGGTGCTGTCTCCTAATTGGCCTGAGGCCTATGACAAGGGGCAGGACTGCATCTGGGGCATCCATGTGGAAGAGGACAAGAGGATCATGCTTGACATCCAAGTGTAAGAGACTGCACTCAGGTGTAAGACTGAGAAATCCCACAGCGAGGTCAGCGAGGAGGTCAAATTGACCTCGAGATGTTAAAGACTCCATCTCCAGACACAAACATTCAGTGATGTTTCTCATCTTTTCTGTAACTCACATAGACATGTTACGACATGCACATGGGGAAGTGTTTCAGTGGTTGCAGTAACTAATTAGATTTTTTTCTCACCCGCTACATTAAGAATTCTGTGTAGCTTCCAGCTCGCTCTCTGACCAGATTAGCCAGTAAGCCTCCCTGCTCCTACTTCCCTGGTGTGTGTCTCAGAGTTGGCTTTGAAATGAATATGCTCTGGCAGTGAACTACTCTGAGCCACTTATCCAGCCTTCCCAACTGTAATTCAACACACATTCAACACACATGCACACAGATTGCAATAGACTGATGCACACACAAATATAGGCACACTGCATTTCTCCTTCACCCATCACTCTTACTGTATGTACTGTAACACCACACACGCACACGCACATACACACACCCAGGCTTTCTTATCCAAGTTATTGCTCCTAAGAGAAGTGTAAATGATCACATTTCTTTGTTTTCTTCATGTTACTCTCTTTAAAAACAAAACAATTCAAGTGTGTGCCTTAGAATTTTCGTCTTTGTCTGCTTATCTTATGGATTCATCTGTTTGCCTTGTTTTGAGAGTCATTCCATGAATATTACCATGAACATGGGATCCTGTAGACAACACAAAACTACAAGATATTTGTGTTATTGCCCAAAGCACTTGCACACAAGAGGGCAGAGAGAGGTTCCAATTAAACCAGTGGGAATACTGCCTGAGGCTGAAGAAAAATAGAGTCCCTGACAAATCTGAAACAGAGGGTACTATCAGCTATTGGTCATGGTGGTCATTTGTTTGTAGGCGTTTGCAAAAATACTCTTGCTGTAAGAATGAATATTCTGTATATCTCTGAACAGTTGATGAAATTAGAAAGTTTAATTATGACATGAGGTCTGGATGCTGTGCTTTTTTTTTTAAATAGAAGATTTTTTAATTACAATGTGTAAAAAACACTATGAGACATTTTAGTCTAGAAGTATTACTGCACTTAAATTTGGCTTTGTTGACTCATTAACAGTATTAGTAATATCAGTTTGGATTTAGATAAATTCTGTTGACAAATATACATTTGAATAACATTTATCTTATTGACATCAGATTATTATCATAAAACGTTGTATTGCATTACTTTATCAAGTATTTTTTTAGATGTTGCTGAATTTAGTCTAAAATAAACTGATTAAAATACCTCTGGGGGATACCTCACAGCTGTGAGCATATAGTTGTGTATGCCTTTGCATGGTCACAATGCACATAATGCCCCTAACTTCTTCTTTTATCTTTTAGGCTTACCACAACTGAGATATGAGCCACCACACAAATATGATCCACAATTCAAATGGGAATAATAGCATCAGAGGAAACCAATAACACGCAATGTCTGAATACAAGGCAGGGGTTTGTGTGACCCTGCTTGCCTCTCTGTTCTTTAGTTGGAGATTAAGTTTCAGTGATTAATGTCTGATATTGCAAGTCGACCAGTGCACCTAGGGTAAAAAAGATCAGAGGGGATTTTTTTCCCCCATGCAGAAGTAAACAAGTTTGATTTGAGGTAAACTGATTTTCATTCAGCGGTCAAGTCTTTTTAAATTGCACCAGCACTAAGTTTGTTTTAATCCGAACCACATGAGGCCGCTCGCTGTAAATTAATGGTGCTGTGGCCAGCTCTAGTTTATCTCAAGGTTGGTCATGCATGGCATTCATGGCAGTAAAAACCCACAGCTTGTGTGCTCCCTGCAGACCCTACCATTACCCTCATGTCTGGCCTGCGCATCTTGAGAATAGCATTCCTTAAGGCTCGGTCAACATGTAATTTGTGTGAAAGTGTTGTTTGTGTGCACGTGTTATGCATGTCGAAGTGACAAAAGGCTCTTGTGGATGAGAGCTGTCTCATTATAAGGGTGGGCACACACTTTTCCACATTAATGAGAATGTTTTCTGTATTATCATTCATCACTGTGCCTGTGCTGGCAATTACAGAGGAGCAGTGTGCATAATGAGGACTGATTAATTAATTTAGGCCAAACAGGAGGGCTGGCTCTTTGCTAATTAGCATGGAGCATGGCTCGAGCAAGAGCAGGAGACAAGAGGTTACAGCTGATATCCCCACCTGTGGAACTGAACAAGGTAAATGGTTCGCATGTGGATATCAGCATTTAGAGTATACTGTATCTAGAAATGTGTTTCACCTGTAAACATGGTGAGGACGTCTTTTTTTTTTTTTTGCAGTAGTAATGTTTATGTCAGTTTACTGAGCACAGAGACCTTTTAGATACAACATGCTGGGTTTATAGAGTCCTCTTGTGGAGACTCTGAGCATAACATGCCATTTGCAAGTCCACTTGTGCTGGGGTTATGTAGGGGCATGAACACTAATCGTTTTTTATTTGAAAAGATAACCTTTTTCACTGTGCAGAACAATTCAAATGTCCAATATGTCTATAAGATGTAGAAGGTTGCCTTTTGAAAAGCTTGACACTGAAAGCAATTTCCATTCTGTTAGAGTTACTGGAGATTTGCCGGGTCCCTTAGACTTCCCTTGACAGGTCAGTGAAGGTGACAAAATGCCTAGAGGCTTATACAAAACACAGCTGTCACCCCTTCATCTGCAGAATTGAGCTGATGCCATTGGTATGCAGAGGAGTCTCCAGAAATTCTCTAAGTCCTTTTTCAAACAGACCTTTGCAAACACCCATGCCTCTTCGGTGGAGAAGATATATCACATTACACAACTCTAAACAAGTATTGCCTTTAAAGTTTTTGGAATTAACTATGTTAAAGCCAGTCTTACACCCTCACACATCACCATTTTAACATCACCTTGGCTAGTAGTAGCTCACATTAGTCTTTATTAGTCATCCAGGCTCTGTCCAATCACAGGAGAACAAGACTCCAGTGATTTTTTTAAGTTGAGTGTTGAGTTTCAGCGATATTTTGATTGTCTGCTTGGCGGCCAATTTTATGCTCTCACAGCAACACACAGGAGCAGAGTGCCTGTCACCAAGTTTAAATTTCTTGACTGCTTTCCTGTCTGGAGGGGAAACCATTAAAGGAGCCAGGTGGGATGACATTTGGGTGGAGCGGTTGCCAGGTTGCTACATAGAAGGCAGTTGAGCAACCTGTAGTGACTCACCACAGAGTGCTGTGTAAGTGTGGACTGAAGGCACAGTGTGTTTGGCATTCTTCTGTATTGTCACCAGCTTTATGAAAACACTTCAAGCAGAGAGTGGAGCGAATGGATGGGGTCAGAGGGAAAATTTAAAACCAAGGTTGACAGCAGCATTCTCGATGAGTCACAGCGACAGGGGAGACTATTTAGGAACCCACACAGGAGGAAAGGTTACTGTGTGTCAAGTGGTGCAGTGTGCGATTTGCTAGTGCTGTTGATTATAAATCTGCTGTTTTCGGATATGGCTGATGGCCTTGCATGTTGCCCAAAATCAGACCAAAATTATTGTTGTTAGTTCTGAAGTAACTGCGGGTGTACATTTTTCCAAAAGAAGAAGGTCAGTCCTGGAAAGGTAATTTTGAGGTGGATATCAGCTGTGTGTCTCAGCAAGTCAGGAAGAAAAATCGGAATTTGGCCCCAGACCCACGCCTCAGTGGAAAGTGTGAAGACAGATTCTAATTCTGTGATCTCTCCATGATGAAGATGAGACACAGAGAAGCACAGTCTCAATCTTGAGCAGCATTGACTTCTGAAAGATAAAGAATTGAGAGCAGATTTCACCATCAAGAACAAAAACATGTTTGTGGTATAAAGTTATCAGTAAAGGATGAAGATCAGTGGCAATGCTATTGAGCTCTATCTAATATCAGATTAGTTAAAGAAGATAAAGAATATGGGTTGTTGTATTGATAAAATACACCAGTGTGAAGGAGAGTAGAATGCTTTACAATAAAAGCAGTCAAAAGTAAGAACTAGACTAATTGGGAGAATTGCTAACCTGTACATAGCAAAGGGGATCAGCAGGTGCTGTATATTTGTGTTGAGTTCGATGAAATGCAGAGACTGGAGTTAATCACACAGTAAGATTGCCAACTGACAGTACCCCATCCCTCCTTCTAGGTTAGTCTGAATGCACAGGGGGAGATAAGGGGAAATACAGTGCAATGATAAGGTGGATAGCCTTGTTGACATGAGCAGCAAGTGAAGGATAGAGCTTGAATAGAAGTGAAGTGAAGTGTGAGATGTGGAGATGCAAACACCATTGGCTGCGGTTTTCGTCTGTGGACTTGGACACCCCCGTTTTATTGTGACAACTGTGACACTACTACTCCTACTGCTAATAAAATCCCCATCGTCTGTCACCCGATGCAGCCACTAAGTGTGAGCAGGGTACATATTATAGATTGAGGATGCTTCAAATAAGATGTGACAAAAATATACCTAACAAAGAATGTAAGAGTAATAAAACGTCATGGGCTTATTGTCTTATGTTTATTTCCTTCTTCTTTTTTGATCACTGCACACACAGCATTTCCACATATGCATGCAAGTGTTCTCCATGGCTGTCTGGAAATGGAAACTGGCATTGTCATTCCTGTCACTTCTATCCACAGCCGCTGATTGTTAGAGAACATGGAGGTGTAAATTGTCCCCATAGCTGTCCAACTAACCGGAGGGAGTACCATGTCACTCAGCACCTCATTTCATTCTCATTCATGCTGCTGGCATCTATTATTTGTGTCCATCAGGAGAAGCTGGAATTTAGTTCTGTCCAAATTTCAGCACCAGCACACTGCACAAACAGACAGTGGAATAAAGTCATGTTTTTGTCTCAAATTTGTGCCCTCAGGGACTTGCTAGCCTTAACCAGGGAATTCACCTGTGGGTGTAATTATTGGTTAAGGCTTATAGTCGACATAAATCACATAAATAGGTAGAATTTGTTCCTAGTCTGGATGAATATACCTGAAGTGGATGCATTTAATTGATTTTAACTGCAATGTGTTTCTACTCAGAAGTGACATGGAAACTCTGTGGGGGAGGTTAGATTGAGGAGAGGTAAACAGACTAGGGCCATTAGCTTCCTTCTATTATCATAAAACTCTGTCAATCACATTTAAACCACATCCTAGACTTCTACTGCTGTCTTTGTTCCCACAAAAATAAAAAAGGTAGTTAGTCTGTGCATGTTTGAATCTCATATTCAGTGATCATGGGCTCTGATGGTCAATCTGAGAATGCCAGAGGAAGGGGAAAAGATATCAGAACATCAGTGAGGTCACGGGCTAGTCACCATAAACATAGAAACAGTGGATTACGGAAGATGAAATAGAGTTGTTAGAGAAGTAATTTAGGCAAGAAAATCCACCGTCATTCATATGGAACTGACAAAATGAAAAATCTGAGAAAAAATTAAAAGTACAAAAAAGTACAAATTGATAGAAATAAGAACAGAGGGAAATAATAACACTCTGGCAATTTGCATGTAAGATTTGCTTCTGCTACATTGTTGGGAATGCATGATTGTATTGTGTTGTACACTTAGCATTTCTATTAATATATACAGTATAGGCACCCAAATGTTTTACCAAACAATTTTCCATTTTTGTGTTCTCCTGCAGACTGTTTTTCTTCTTGGTGATTTTTTTTGTCCTTGGTTATCCATTTTAATTAGTTGGTTCCTAGGATGCAGACATAGGAAGGCTTTCTTGACAAAGATTGACCTCTCTATGTGGTCTTATTCTAGGTTCATGTTGATTGCCATGTGATCTTATTGACGTAAATCACCCGTCAGTAACTCTGAATATGTCTCTCGGATGCTGTGTGACTTTTTTACCTGCAACCTTGCTAGGAGTGTATTTCAGGGCTATTCTTAAATCAGACAATAGCAAATTGTCTCAGAACCCCCATTTATTTATTTGTGAAATATTTTGACTTTTGACCTATCACACAGCTATCTTTAAGTATACACAAACATAAAGGATCACAACTGAATACTAGATGACAAGACAGAATAGATATCTTTGAAAAGCCAAAGTAAATCAGTGACAAAGAGAGATAAATCCAGAGGAAAATTCAATGATGATTTGATAACAACGTGTGATCAAAACTACAAGCGAGGGACCCTTAATGCATTAATGAAAATTCTGCAAAGGAATCGAGAGAAGCTGTGAGGTTTATCAGTTACCATTTTGGGAATACACTGGTCTCCCAAAAATTGTATGTGCGCTTCATTAATTTCTTGATCGTACACACTAAATGGTGAGGGGGAGCTTATGCAGGGGACAGGTGACATAGCTATAAAAGCAGTGCTCCTACCTAATGGCATTATTCTATTACTGCTAAGTTCTGTTCAGTACACCTATTGAATATTAACACAAAACTATCGGCCAATCTGCACTGCTATTCTGTCCCCCTGTGCTTAAGGCACATAAAGAGCAACGAGTTTCTCTAAAATTACCTTGGTCTCAGAAACCATAACAGTTCTCAATTTCAGCAGATGGGCTGGAAATCTCACCCACTACAGAGACAAAAATGTTTTTTATCGATTGATCAGATTGTGGCACTATAACTTCAGATGTTACATTTTGGCCTTTAACATTTGGACCTCAGAAACAAAATCATTTTTATTTATTCATTTTTTATTTTTACTCCTACATTTTTTGAGCAATCTACATTCAATTGTTTACATAGCATAGCTGGACCACTCGGGATATAACTTGTTTTTCAGATTTTGATAGTCCACATAGTTTTGAAATTATACATTTTAATACCATGGTCTAGGTGAATACTCTATTCTGACTGCAGGGTGTACATTAATACCTGATGTAGGACACCTACTAAGTAGTTCCAGTGAAACTGCCACTGTTCTAAATTAGTGTGCTGAAATAAATGTAATGACAACAAAATCTTTATTTCTCATAAATATACACCAATCAGCCATAATGTTATGCAGCCCAGTCGCAACAAACTGTGATGTACTGTGTGTTCTGGCATCTTTCTATCAGAACCAGCAAACTGTTTCAGCAATTGCATCAATGAGCCTTGGCCGCCCATGACCCTGTTTCTGGTTCACCACTTTTCCTTCCTTGTAGCACTTTTGATAGGTACTGACCACCGCAGACCGGGAACACCCCACAAGAGCTGCAGTTTTAGATGCTCTGACCCAGTCGTCTAGCCATCATAAATTAAACATAATGGCAAATTAAATTTACCATACGTAGTGTTATTGACTTTTAATATTGCTATCATATCAAAGCTCTCTCATAGAGCCCTATGTTTAACAAGAAGACAAGCTAGCTATCCAGCCATGTCATTGTCCCTAAATCAAGGGCTCACAGAGCCCTTTGGCTCAACTATGAGCTATGTGTCATTATGATGTCGTAGGGAAATGGAAGGAAAAGCCTCTTTTACTCAACTACTTAGCCATTTACTCCATTACTGAGTAATTTACTGGGCTTTCTGGGAAGCTGGGGACTGAACAGCAATCTTCTGATTATGAGACAACATCTCTTCCTCTATTTGTTGTCATTATTTTCTATAATCCTGGTTGTCCGCTTTTTGTATAGGTGTAGTGACCTAGAGGATAATGGTATATTATGCTCATTTTTGTAAATATACACTTTATAGTACATATTCATCAGAGCAATGTGGGGGACTGAAAAGGCATACATCATGAATTATTTAGTGTTTACTTCACATTAGATCCATCCAGTATAAACAGAATTATTATTTCCCAAGGACTGCTGACATCGCCTTATGCCATCAGCTTTTGCTTTCATCAGCCAAGAAGGATACCAGTTGCTTAACTCTTAAAGCTCTGAGCAAAATACTCAGCCATCATACCACATAACCAAAGACATGGGACATAGCTGTACTTTATAGAAAAAACCTTAATTCATATCACCAGGAAGAAATGTAACCACTTATTTTATGTCTGTTCTAGTCTCCATGTTGGCAAGAATGACCTGCTGACCTTCTATGATGGTGATGACCTGACAGCGAACATCCTGGGCCAATACAGTGGCACACGGCCACACTTCAAGCTCTATACCTCCATGGCTGATGTCACAATTCAATTTCAGTCAGATCCTGCCACCAACATCTATGGCTACAACAATGGTTTTGTGGTCCACTTCTTTGGTAAGATTGTGGTTTTCTTTTTGTATGTTCAGCTATGGTTGAATAAAAAATACTACTTAATTTTCTTGGTTAACTGAAATCCATAACTTTATCTTAGAATTAAATGTAATTAAATGTATGATGACAAAAAACAAAACAAAGAATGGTTAAGTGTGAAATATAAAATTTTACTTGTACCTAAAACCCTGCAGGTTAGCAATTGGAAAAAAAAGTCTATTTATTCCTCTGTCTCTTTGCCTCTTTCTCTCGCTGTGCCTCTGCCTGTCTTCTGGCTTATCCCAGGTGCACAGGATTTGATAACAACAAACATGAACACACAATAATAGGGTACTTCAACATCAGCTGGTTTTGCCCATTTCTTTGTGTTCTTGGCCATGTATGGTGCAGTTAGGGAGGCACAGATTGACTGGTGCCAAACCACATGCTGTGTTCCTCCCAGCAAACATCACAAACCTCTATTTACATTCTCTCTCAAACTGCTGCTGTTTAGTGCACACCAAACAGACACATTTGCAGTTGTATTCCCACAGACAAGGTCATCTTGTGTCCTTTCACAATCTTGATCCTGTATACAAAACAGCATTATTGAGGTTTATCTGCATTCCCAATACCATCGTCTTTTCTTATTGTGTCAATAAAAATAATTAATGTATCGGTAATTCAACATTTCCCATTCTGCATATCTTCTCTCCCACCAACACAACGCAACACTAACTGCTCCAACGCCAACAGAGGTGCCGAGGAACGATACCTGCTCTGAGCTGCCGGAGATCACCAACGGCTGGAAGAGCACATCTCACCCTGACCTCATCCATGGCACTGTCATCACCTACCAGTGCTACCCTGGATTTGAGCTGGTAGGCTCTGAGATCCTCATGTGCCAGTGGGATCTCACTTGGAGCGGTGACGTGCCAAGATGTGGGGAAGGTGAGAAGAACCATGCAAAACTTCGTATTTTGACCATTTTTTGACACATGGAGAGCAGAAGAGTCAGCCCTCAGTCATATAGTCTGTGAATATTTTGGCTTCAGTACAGTGAGGAGACTGGATTACATAATAAAACTTTTATTCTCTTAGTAAATTTATTCTGAACATGCTGCAGAGGAAAGAATGTAATGCCTGTTCAGTTACTCGAATAGAAAGCAAACTGTATATAGTAGACACAATTTTAAAAAATGTCAAATATACAACATATTCAAAGGAAATTAGTACTGGATGGAGATTGGTGATACAACGCAGAAAAAAGACTTCATATTTTAACGTGGCTGATTCACAATAGCAAACTCTGATACAATGGTGGGTCATATTTTGATTGGGTGCCAATTAGCAGGCGTTTTGAAGCCATTGTAAACTCAAGTGTCGACGCAGGCCTTGTTTTAGCCGTCTAATACTACTAACTAACATTCTGCCAACGTTCCATAGTATCATTGGTTGCAACTGTGATTTGTGAACTTAAAGGAAAGCTCTTAAAGGGAAAGTCACTTAAAGAATTTTATGGCTGTGTAAAATCTGATGATCTGAGGATTTGCCTCAAGTGATGTCACTTGAGTCAGCATTCAGCATATCAGTTGATTCTGTTTAGAGGTCGGTAGCCACCTCCTCATCTCTTCTTGAGACTAGTAGCTAGAAGTTGCGGTTGAGTTGCATTTTGGATAATGTAGGGACCTGGTTTGGACAAGGAAGAGGAATATGTGGAATAAAAAAGATGATATCTCTAGTTCTGCAGCATCAAGGAGTTCAAAGCTGTAGCAGTACTGTACTCTTTTAAAACCCTTTTCCATACTGTGAATAGTGCTTAATTATCTTATGTGGCATTAAAACAGGTCCTTGAAGTACCTACAGTATTAGGAATTTACCTGTGCACAATCTGTCATTTATCCTAGAAAAGTAATAATATAAAAATAATGTAAATAATTATTTTGCTTGTTTAAACTACCAACATCACCAATGGAAATGATAACAAATCATCGTTTGTTTTGGTGATGCACCAGTTATGACATGTCAGGACCCTGGAAATGTGGAGCACAGTCATAAGGTGATCACGGGAAGCCGCCTCACCGTTGGATCGACAGTGCAGTTCATCTGTAATAAAGGCTACGTCCTGTCTGGCAACAGCCTCCTCACCTGCTACAACCGAGATTCAGCCACACCCAAGTGGAGCGAGAGGCTTCCCAAGTGTGTCCGTGAGTCACATAATTCGGAAACACACATGGACACACACACACCACTGTTCTTTGAATATATGATTTAAACATGTTGTGCTTGAAGGTGCCAATTAGAATTTTGGTTTATTTTTTGCCAAATCATGCGTCTGTAGTTTCAACATACAAAACTGAAGTGAATAGGGCTACTTTACTTTCATAAAGTACAATGTACAAATGTGAGTGAGTGAGTATTTCTGTGACCTAAGATATTGTCCTTCCTCTCAGCTGAAAAGTATGAGCCATGCAGGAACCCTGGTGCTGCCTCCACTAGTGTGCAGAGCTCTGAAAAGGCGTTTTACCAAGCAGGGGAGATGCTGACCTTCTCCTGCCACTCAGGGTATGAGCTTCAGGGTGACGCCACCATCTACTGTATCCCTGGACATCCGTCGCAGTGGAATAGCACTCCCCCTGCCTGCAGAGGTGAATTATGCTCACACACTGTAGCAAGCTTTTCAGCTTTTACAATTCTCCCAACATTTGGAAATACAATACGACCTGGACCATATTATGTGCCATTGATTTTGTTGCTGTTTGTGAATGCAAATACTTTGCTTAAATGTAATACATGCGCTGTACGCTGTGTTACACAACTCTAGTCCAAATACTGACTAACTGCATTTGTGTCTTGGTAGCATCCTCAACTCAATATGTGAACGAACGCAGGCTAGATGGTGAGCTGTGCATCAAAACATTGCAGTATAAATATTAATATTTCTCTTTTGTGCAGTAAGAAATAACTGATTTGTGTGTTTTTTCCCATCTAGTTGTTAATATGGATTATGGCATGGAGGGAACCAATATTGCCCTTGCAGTTTTTATTCCAACTGCAATCATCTTGGTGGTTGTCCTTGGGATTTATGTCTACTTTGCCAAGTAAGTAACAATTTAAAACTTTATTTATTTCACTTGGAATCAAATAAGCCTTAACAGGATGTTCTTTGTTTCCCTACTGTTTACTCAGACTCCAAGGGAAGTCTATCAGAATGCCAACATCCTCGCCACCGTATGACAACATGACAGAAGAGTCAGCTTTCGACAACCCTGTGTATGAGTGCGGAGTAAGTACAGATGTCATGAACATGCGAGACGTGGATTCACAGAACACCAGTGTGCTGTCCTGATCCTTTCCCATCTGGCTGCCATCCTGTCATCATCTCATATTTCACCAGCAGAGGGCTCCCTCCGCCTCACCTTTCATCACCTCATCAATCATCAGTAAAAGCTAGTGGTCTTAGCTGATGATGTTGCTCTTAAGAATATAAAGGAAGGACACTTTACCTCACCTCACTGTGTGGTCAGAGGTCAGTTTTCTTCCTGGATTTCCATACATCATCCACCTGGAGGAGTGAGAGTGACATGTTAGGCTTGCAGTCCATCATTCTCATTGTGGTATGACATCTCTTACCCATGTCATATAAATGTATCATGTTGCATGCTGCAATCACAGTATTATTCATTCATAGATGTACCTGTGCTAATTGTATCACAAAGATAGAGGAGGCCATATAGCCATAGGCTTCTATGTGAATGTATGGATGCACGACATCTCCTGTTTGTTTTTATTTTCATGTACTGGTCTCAATTGTGACTGGAGCGTCCTCTCATCCTTTTCCCCCTGCTCCTTCAGCACTGGCAGTCTCATTCTAGATACTAAACCCTGTCAGTCTGTCAACCTTGGCTGTACTGCTGAAGAACTATGAGGTGAGATCTTGCTGAGGGCATATCTCACTCACCTGAGTCACCTGTCTGTCATGTTTTGACTACCTCTCCCAACCTGCACACACATTCTGGTTTTAATGCAGCATAGTTTTCTACAAATCCTCCAGTCATTCTGCTCTTTCTTCTACTTTGATGTCTAAAACCACATTTCTGTAATTACAGACTATGATAGGTACACAGAACCACTGGATAGAAAGAATTTGAAACACAATGCTAGTGCAGTCCTGGGATATATGGCATACACATCTTGTTTGTATACACCTAAAATAATGGATAAAAGATTAGGAGAGATTTCACATGAATGAAAACTTTATACCTATATGTTTCTCTTTTTTGGTACGATGACAATTGTATATGTGTGATTGTAACATCTACATTACATGCATACTGGTCATATTTAGTTTTATGTGTTTTAGTGTCTTTAAAGTGTTTACCTTATACAACTTATTATTTTGTTAATTGCATGTTTCTTAAGAAAAGATTGATGTAATAACTAAAGTTGCCAACAGATAAATATACAAAAAATAAGGAATAATTGGGAAAAAGAAATGTCAGACTATAGTTAAAACCTGATCCATATGGTACCACTTTCAAAATACTACAGATAGTGTTTTTTTCCTGCAGTAGTCATTAGTTCATGTGTTGTTTATCATTTGTGAAAATTTCAGATAATAAATGGTAATGGCAATTAATAGTGGTCCACCAAAGTAACATATCCAACACTTTCTATTGTCAGTATGTAATTAGTTCTGTTTCTGTTGTGTTCATACCAAATTCTTGTTAAGGCACTGTTTTCTCATTTCAGGTTAATCAAAATGTACAAGACAATACTGATAAACAGTATTTCTTTCATAATAAGTCATTATTATGCCAACACTATAAAGTACATGCATTTTTCTACCCTCACAGGTCATTTTGCATGTATGACAAATCAGAAAGACACAATTGCAAATTAAAAACATATATTTGTTTTTAATATTTCAAAGTTTATCTGTTGTATTGTAAATGTTTCTTTGTGCATCACAAATTGTACAATCCTCCACCATTGTGATTCCATTTTAACGGATATATTTGTCTGATCTTTACAGGTCAAATGAAAAAGATTAAGAGGTGTCCATTTAGAGACCTTAAAGCAAGAATTGCTCAAGCTTTGCCTTTTGGGACCCTCTCTGCACTGCTCATCTTTTCCTCCAACCTTTTTGTTCCCCAATGATTTCTTTCCATTTTCCCTTTGTGTGGATTACTGTAAATATGTCTTTCTTTCGACGGTCAAATCTGTGAGTCTGTGGATCACCATGGTGATATTTTTATAAAGTAAATTGCTGATGACCGTTGGTGATTGTATGTTTTTGAGTACTTTTTGATGCCCCAAGCCAGTAGCAATTAGAGATTGAGGGAATTTGATTGTTGAGATCTGTTGGATACAAATTCTCCATCACCCAACACTCTTTGGAAATTTGCCATCATGACTTTCTTTTCTTTCTGTGTACGGGTCTGCTATTTGTAAATAAACTGCCTGTCCAATATGAGTGCCTCACGACTGACTATAACCTGAGAAATCACATGTGAAAATGTTTGTAAAACTGGATATTTCGTTTTAATTTTGTATTTGCAGGCCTGACATTCTTAGCACTCCACAGTGTTCAGTCTTTTCCATCACACAGTTTCTCTTCAAGACATAAAAACAAATGATGGCGGATATTTTCCTGCTTGCTGATGTGTGTTCCCAAGAGCATAGCCTCAGAGGATTTCTCAGATACGCATAACTTTGTTCTTATGTCTCACTGTAAAGTCTGCCTCAAAGTATAAGTAGCAATTTGTTAATTTGTGTATGTTCCAAAATGTGGTTGCACCTCAGCATTAGCACACCCTGAGATAAAACCCTGTGATAATATACAGTAATCACATGATTGACCTAACTTACTGGTGCCGGCTAAAATAGATCCTTATGTAACAGACAGGTTTTTACTTTGGGTCACATTGTTGTGGTGCATCTGCTTGTGTTAAATTTGTAGATAGACCTCATATCCTTTGTGCATATCCTTTATACTCCAACAAATATTTCTTTCAGCAGCGCAGCTGGTGAAACCACACCCAGGAAACCAAATCACCTTCAAATATCTATATAATCCTCTGGTTAATAATAAAATGAATTGTTGTTTAAAGTATTGTCATTGATTCATTCATGGAAAAATAGATTTTTTGACGATTGTTAAAAACTTCCAACAAACAAATTAAAACCAGCTTTACCTCACACAATAAGCTATACCTGAATGTAAACAGTGGTTTATATTGTTTGAATAACCTTCTCAGGTGAGTGTTTGATTAATAATTAGCCTAATATTCACATCCAGTTAAGATCTAGTGGATTTGGAATGCTTTAAATAGACATACATTTAAAAAATTGACATTTTACATGTCACAGTAGGAAAATCACAGGTTGAACTGATAACAATGTCTGAATTCTATAAAGCTATTCTGGTTTCTGCATGCCTGCTTACTGCAACACCTAAACTGAACAGAACCATTGCTAAAGTTATAAGGGACACCTGTGCTTTTCTTACTGTGACAAATCAAAGCACCTGCTGTGAAAAAGACCAACTGGAAATCATATATTATCTAACAACACTGATTCCTATCCCAGGTGTAGCAGGTGACTGGATAGATTTAAAATACTCATGAAATGATGAGCTTGAATTAGAGGCGGCAGCATAAACACCAGTAGCATAATGAATTTCTACCATGAGTTGCTGGAACCAATTATCTCTGTTTAAATGACGCATGTACTCTATGTTAATATTCCAGTGAAACACATTGCAAACAGTGTGTGAACAATATGAGTGGGTGGACCAAATTAAATGTGTCATACAGTTGTTTACCTCTAGATGGCAGCATGATAACAAGTAGGACATGAGGCAAGGCCTTTGTTATACTCATATTCATTCAACTTATATTTCTGCTTTATTTCATACAGAATCCTATTAATCTCTGTACATTAATGTCTTACAACATTTCTCAATCTGTCAAGACACAAAAATAAGATTGAACGGTTAATTACACACAGAGAGAGGAGAAATTCTTGGTATTGTGGGACTAAATTTAGACTGTAATGAAGGTACCTCAGACTGCACTGAAGGTATCTCAGACCATATACAGTTCAGATTTCCAAACACTTACAAATGAATAAGATCCTGAAAGAAAATAATTGGCCTCAAACTATTTTATTTTAGCAAGTAACATTAGCAGGCAACAACCTGCCTTTTTCACACAATTAAAGTGGGGTTAGGTTTTGGTATGGTCACTAGTTTTGTGAGACAGGGGGTGCAGTAGCAGCATTAAACTAAGCAGTTTCACACATCCAGATTTCACATAGTTGGGTGTCTTAAAAGGGACTAAGATTTTTTGATATCATAATTTAACAAATAATATATACATACACACATATATGTAAATAAATAAATAAATATATATACACATATATTAAATATAAATGTATATAAATATATATATATATATAAATTTGCACATTCTACCTTATTTTTGTTTACATAAAAGTAGCAGAAGGTACAGTGTATATGTTAGCAGGGGCTGTCCTCCAGATTATTCTTTACCAGACTCTGGCCCTCTGGTTTAATTTCTCCGATGGAAAGTTCTAAAAAATGATAAATCATATGAAATGCAGCCAAAAGGTTTTATGACCATGTCAAGGTTTATGTTTTTGTTCCTGTGTTTGTGTGGGAGCTGGTTTGTCTCAGTGAGTCGTTTGGGGGCAGTCACCCGAGGTTTCAGCTGAGCTTTCACTCTGATGCAAGGAGGCACCGAGCAGTTTGAGCCATTAAAATGTAAATTTCCTGTGCAGTCAGTCTTGGATGACGAAAAAGGACCACAACTGAGGATCTACTAATGTGTCAGCTCATTCTCTCTTTGTCCATGTTAATCACTGACAGACTGACTCAATGTCGGCCGTCACAGAAAATGAAGAATGTGGGGTAATAAAAAATTGAGGGGTAATAAAAATATATAATAAAGCACAAATAGAAAAATAAAACACTGATTGTTTTAATGTTGGCTTGTAATTGCTGTTGTTTTGTGTTTTTTTGAGATTCAAGAAGTGATTATATGAACTTCATTAATGAACTGAAAGCTTGCATTTAATGTAACTGCATTAAGTGAAACCAGTTCCAACTTTTTTACATTACAAGTATGAAACCACCAATGAAAATAAAGATATCTATCGGACCAACTGATAATTATTAAAATAATTGATAGCATAAATAGCAAAGGGTGAACAACAAACAGCTTGTGATGTAGACCTAAAAATAAAACATGACACACATGACTGGGTAGTTTCAAGGTTTTTGGATTAACATCATAAGACGTCTTTATGTGGCAAGTTGGCATACTGATTATATAGTGGTGTCAAGAACCATGGTGGAAAATAACATTTCTATTTGCAAGTAGGTAAATGGAAAAAATAATTATAAATTAACTTTTACTATGCTGTTATACTACCCACATACCTTATGAATCTTGCAGCTCCCCAGTGAAACCAAGCTCTAGAGTCTAAAGCTTCACATGCATAACACCGTTGATGATGAGGATACTGGACGTGTCAGCAGATGATTAACCAAAATGAAAGGCAACCATTATATAAATCCATTTTAAATCTATCTATCAGTCATCAGAATGAGTGGGCCTCATTGACATCAAAGAGGGGTTTGTTTTATTAAACTGCCAGCAGGTGGCAGCCTACTACCAATTCAGTTGCCACAGGGGGGTCAGCTGTCTCAAGTGCACCATAAAGACCATCTCCAACACTTAATACTCCCACCACAGACTAGTGCCAAGCGGCCTAGTGTGGGGGTTTACAGGACAGGATGGTTCACAATTAAAATAAAACACCCTACTCACAACCCAATGGAGACCAGGACATGGCAATTAACCCAGTAATACAGCAGACCATTAGACCTCCCTCTCTGTATCGGCAGCCCCAGGGCATACAGTATGCTTACCACGGGGCTGTGGGATGCATATTATGAGAGACAGTTTAATGTAATGACCCATTCAAACCTATTGTACAGTATGCTCTGAGTTGTAGCAGTTATGGAAAATTCACCAACATGCCCAGTAAAACACGTGGATGAGCATATTTATAGAATATTAGCAATGAGTTCTTAAATAAACCAATTTCAAAATTAAATAAATGCTCACCATGTAATATATTAGTCAAAGTGGCTTTCTTTTATCCCTTTTAGTTGTGGGTTGTTTTTTTTATTTTTATATTTATTTTTTGTCTGTTTTATTCTTACATTTGAAGTTTAATCAGATTTATCACGGCTTTGATGGTTTACCTTGTGGCTTCTTTCATTTTCATTTTTTACTTGCAACCAAGATTGACAGACAGCTTTTTTTCTCTCTCCAAATCATGATTCTATTAATCTGATTAATATGCCATTAAGATAGCATAGCAGGAGAAATATCAACTCAGTAATGGGACCTGGACAGATTAAAGCTGCCTTTACCTTTAGTAAAGCACCAGCACCAGGTGCAGGGGACATGAAGGTGTTGGTGCCAGGGTTTTTTGGTTCACTGAGGTTATGACCCTCACAAGCAGACCTTTGTTCACATAGACCTACAGTATATAGGCCACCACACATCTTTTGTATTGCAGGCTTGTCTGTGCACCATAAGAACTTTTGCCATTTATTTTACACTACTATTGTTTAGTTTTTACACCTATACACCTTGAGCGGCTTTTTAATGACAGTTTATTATTATGATTATTTTTTTTTATTATTGCAAGTATCCTAAAAAATAATTCTCTGAATACACATTTATAATAAATATGGTCATAAATAAAGACAGATTAAGGAGTCATGGACATTTGAAATCTCAATTAAGAGGTAGGCTATTTAATCACCAATGTCTCACAAACTAAGGTAATGTGGAGGTATAGAAATGTAGCATAACATAATTTGAATAATAATTTCAATTTACGGAGTGGATTGTTGGACTTCACTGTTAAAACATTCAAATGAAGAGTAATTTTGTGTCCAAGGATGAAAGACAAGACTGAAAGTATGTCTCTTGAAAAATATGAAATTTCTTCTTTATCCCTTAATCTTAGTTTTCATGTAGGGAAATTCTCCAGTTTGCTAGTGTACCTTATTTGTTACCATCCCCAGGGAGCAATGGCTGATATCGCACAGACAGGGCTCACTGTCTTTGTTATTACAAAGTGCAGCCTCAGGAAGCCATTTTGCACAAAACAAAGGGTAAACCCTCTGCGCGCCTCTGGTGTTGCTTGATGTGGCAAGATGCCAAATCTTACTCTCCAGCATATGTAGGGGGTCAGGGCTTCCCTAATGCCCTCAGATCAATGAGACTCATGTAAACAAAGAAGTGCTTGAATTAACTTCCATCTCCAATCTCCAGACCCCTACTGGCATAGCTGATCTGAGGCAGAGAGGGAAATACATTTTCATCACTTGAATTTATTTGAATGGCACACCAAATTACATTGTATGTTATTCAGAAATGTCTCAGTACCCAGTAGACATTCTAAGCTAAAGCACGGTGTAAAGTACAAATGTGCCAGAAAAAAACAGAGGATGTTTCAGAGGATATTTTGATTGCCATGATTTGTCTAAATGGAAGAATGAAACTGTACAGTGTATTTTTATATTTCTTTCCATAAGTCAAGAATATTATGATTACCTTTAACAACGTTTGTGCTCATATTGTGTATGACTAAGTTATTTTTAGCCTTTATGTATAGGGTAAAGGGATGAATGAGGGTGATGGATGTGGGTTGAGAAGCAGAGTCAAACAACATAGTGTAGTGTATCAGGTATAAGTGGGCTTGACAGGGGTGGCTGCAGCTCAGGAGGAAGAGCAGGCCGTCCTCTAATCCTCATTGGTTCGATCACCAGCTCCTTCTGTTCACATGTTGCTCTTGGGCAAGACACTGAGCCGATCGCTAGGCTACCAGCTTGTATGGCAGTACGCTGCAATTGATGTGTGAGTGCGCTTGTGGACGTGTGAATGAGAGGCAAATTGTAAAGTGCTTTGGCTAAAGGAGCCATATTGATACAGTCCATGTGACAGATTTTTGCTAATGCTTGCTCCTGAAACAGTATTAACTTCATATATCAATGAATAAACT